TTGTATATTTTTTATCAATAAAAACTTTTTTTTTTAAAAAAGAAAGATTTGCAACTTTGCAATTTTTATTTATACACCTGATCTAGAAATGGATCTATTTAGGTCTCCCACCTAGCAGTAAGAGCTTGCTAGCTGTTAGAAAAGAAAAAAGCTCAGAATCGAGTGGATGTGATTCTACTGAGCTGGAGCTACAAAAAAACCTTGGTTACGTAGGGAAAACCTGGCTAGAAGAAAAACACACATAAACCCTACGAAGAAGTAAGAAAATTGATATTGTACCTTTACAGGGAGGATACATAAGATATGGGTGTGGCCTACTGATGAAAGCAAATGAGCTAGAAATGGATCTATTTAGGTCTCCCACCTAGCAGTGGGATCTAGATCAAGGCATATACGAAATCCCGTGTGCTTCCTGCCCATCAACATACATTGGACAGACCAACAGAAGAATGAGTGTGCGCATCGAGGAACACAAAAACTCAATACAAAAACAAGAACACACATCATCATTAGTTCAACACATAAATACAACAGGACACAATATTAATTTTAATAACACAAAAACAGTTGCAAAAATAGAACATCTCAATGGCAGGATAATCAGAGAAGCAATTGAAATAGAATAAAGACCATATTGCATGAATAAACGGGATGACACTTCACGTCTGCCTACTATTTGGAAACCTGCTCTCATAGATAGACAAATCTTAACACCAAATATAAAACATAGACCAAACATTAATCAAAAAACAAATCCCAACCAAATCATATTCAAACCAGCCACAAAGATGAAGCCCTGCCACCTAGTGTTTTATTTCATGGCTGTTCACCGCCCTGAGTCCTTCGGGAGTAGGGCGGTATACAAATCTAATAAACTAAACTAAACTAAACTAAACTAGTGGAGAAAAACCAACCATACACCCGAAGCCAAGCCAATAAACACATACTGGGACTCCCAACCAATCAGAATGAAAAGGTGGAGCCATCCCAGAATACCAGCACCAGATTTGAAATAGCAACGGCAGTTACTGCAAAAGACTGCTGATATAAGTCTGATGATGGCAGATAGGATTCTGTCGAAACGTCGCTTCTACCCTTTTAGGGATATATCCACAATTACACGGGAAGAAACCCAAAATATTAACTACACACACACACACACACACACACACACACACACATATATATTCAATTAAACTGAGAAGCGTAAATGCTTTCCAGCCCTTAATATAAACACATCATAAAAGAAAGATGTTGTTCTATAAATTAAAAATTAAATAAAAGCAGAACAAATATATGCAGATTCAGAGGGCAGAGTTTTGATGGTGTAGATAATTGATAATTATATGAAGATTCTCTTAGTTGTAATATATGCGCCAAATAATAACCAGAGTGATTTCTATCGAAATTTACATATGAAAATAATTGAAATGGACTATGATAATATATGTATGATGGGAGATTTTAATGGAATAGTAGATGAAAAACTGGATTATAAAACAATAAAAATAGAAAGATATAATAGAAAAACACTGCTGAATTCTTTTTTTAAAATGATAGAGGAAACAAATCTGAAAGATATATGGAGAGTCAGAAATGGGGAGAATAGACAATACACTTTTTACTCAAACAGGCATTCATCTTGGTCAAGGTTAGATATGATATGGACAACAATGGACTTGATTTCGAAAATTGAGCAGGTGGAAATAGACACTAATCTATGGGCTGATCATAATCCAGTGATAGTAACCTGGAAAGGCCAAAAAAGGAAAGCTAGATGGACTTTGAATAATACAATCTTAAAAGAAAAAGAATTTGTACAGAAAATGCAAAGAGAGCTGGAGTTTTTTTTTAAGGAGAATAAAAAGGAAGATACATCGATACAAAACTGTTGGGATACAATGAAGGCTTACACTAGAGGCATAATAATAGATTATACAAAGAAAAGGAATGTGAAAAAAAGACAAACTTTTATAATATTAAAGGATGAATATAAGAGATTTGAAAAGGAACTCCAGAAAGATCCACATAAGAAAGATGTAAAAATGAAAATGGACATGTTGAAACATAAAATGGACTTACTGGAGAAGGAAGAGCTAGCCCAAAAAATAAGAAGTGCTAAACAGAATTATTTTGAAAATGCGAATAAACCAGGAAGATGGCTAGCATATGAATTGAAAAAAGAAAGGAAATCAAAATAATAATAATAATAATGCAACTAATTGATGATCAAGGACAAAGTAAATCTGGAAATAAAGAGATGGGAAAAATAATACAAGAATATTATAGGCAACTTTATAAAAGAGAGTTGGTTGGAGAGGGGAAAGTTAAAAAATATCTACAGAATGCAAAATTACCTTTGATCCCCAAGGACATTGAAGAAATGCTAGATGGGTGTATAACAATGATGGAATTAACAGAAGCATTTAAGAAACAAAATAATGGAAAGACACCAGGACCAGATGGCTTGCCTGTTGAATACTATAAGACATTACAAGAATCTTTATGCCTTCCACTTTTAGATGTTATGAATGAAGTAATGATAAATAAAACAATACCCCAATCATGGACTGAGGCTTATATCACACTGATTCACAAAGAAGACACAGACCCACAGCAAATTAAAAACTATAGGCCTATATCCCTACTAAACTCAGACTATAACATTTTTGCTTCAATACTAGCAGAAAGACTTAAGAGATACTTGAATAACTTTATACACTCAGATCAAAATGGATTTCTTCCAAAAAGACAAATTAGAGACAATATAAGAATAATTTTGAATACCTTAGAATATTATGAAGCACACCCTGAAAAACAAATGGCTTTGATATTCCTAGACGCACAAAAAGCATTTGATAATGTGAATTGGCGATTTATGATGCTACAAATGGAAGAGATGGGCTTCGGAAGGAAATTTATTCAGGCAATTGAAGCTATATATTCGAAACAGACGGCAAAGGTAATGATTAATGGAGAATTGACTGATGCTATTGAAATAGAAAAAGGTACTCGACAAGGATGTCCTCTATCCCCATTGCTATTTATCTTGACTTTGGAAGTGTTGAATAGAAATGCCAGAGAAGAAAAAGAAATAAAAGGAATGAAAATTAGAAAGGAAGAATATAAATTACAAGCTTTTGCTGATGACCTGGTCTTTATTATTGAAGAATAATTAACATCAATAAATAAATTGACAGAAAAAATAGGTGAATTTGGGGAGGTTGCTGGTTTGAAAATTAATAAAGAAAAGATGAAGATAATGACTAAAAATATGTTTAAAAAAACAAAAAGAAGAACTGAGGGAGATTTCAAAGATGCAGGTCACAAATAAGGTAAAGGACTTGGGGATTCAACTAACAACAAGATGTAGTTCTCTTAAAGAAAATAATTATAATAAGCTTAAGCAACAGATAGGACAAGATTTGGTGAAATGGGGAAATTTGCAGTTATCTTTGATTGGTAGAATTGCAACTATTAAGATAAATATCTTACCTAGAATCTTATACCTTTTTCAGACAATTCCTATAAAGCTGGGTAAGGAATTCTTTGCAGATTTAAATAGGGAAAGAAGGCAAGGATAAAACTCAAACTGTTACAAGATGCTAAGACGAGGGGTGGTTTTGGTTTACCGAATTTTGAATTATATTATCAAGCGGTAACATGGAAAAACACTAGATTATTAAATTTGGAGGGACATGTTTTGTTGATGGGATGGCACGCTTTCTTATGGTATAAAGGAACTAAAATTCAGGGGTATTTTAGAAGACATCAGATACGTGAAGCTCTGTTTTTGACATGGGAGAGGATTAAAAAAATACCATTATTTGAAGATTCCAGTCTGCGTATCTACAATTGAAGCTTTTTCTTATCCAGTGGTATTTAGAGGGGAACAAATTGTTAGATATAGTGAATTATTGGATAAAAAGGGTGAATTTAAATTAAAACAAGATTTAGAAGACCAGGGAATTAAAATGGATTGGTTCTCATACATGCAAATACTTTCCAGATATCGAGAAGACTTTTAACAAGAAGGTATTTATAGTGGTTTGACTGGTTTAGACAAGATATTAATGGGTTCTGATGACCATGTAATTAAAAAGCTATATGGATATTTACTTGAAGTAAAATTGGAAGAAGAACAAGTTAAAGAATCAATGATAGCATGGGGGAAAAATTTTGGTTATAGTATTGATTTAGAGAAATGGCAAAAATTGTGGTCACATAACTATAAAATGACAATCTCGACATCATATAAAGAGAATTTGTATAAGATGTTTTACAGGTGGCATTTACCCCCAACGAGAAGTGTCATCAAACTCCAGGATCTTATTACCATATGTGGTGGATATGCGTGGAAGCAAGGAGATTTTGGATTAAGATACATACGTGGTTAGAAAAAATGACAAAGAGACATATTGACTTTAAACCAGAGATATTTTTATTAGGGATTTTACCAGAGACATTTAATAAAGAATTACAATATTTAATTGTGAATATTTTAACAGCGGCCAGAATTGTATTTGCCAAAAACTGGAAAGGAGAGAAGATAATTACTGATGAAGAAATTATTAAGAAAATATTGGATTGTGCTGAAATGAGTAGATTGACATTTGAAATAAGAGAACAGGAAGATAAACAATATTATTTGATATGGGAGATATTTTATCAATGGTTTGACAAAAAAGTATGGAGATGAGATAGCATATATGAAATGAAACTTTGATGAAATCTTTAAATATTTACCTTCTGTTCAAGTAAAGAATAATTGTTATAAGATAAGACTTGGAAAATTGTAAGCACGAAATGATTTTAACCGATTGAGATCCTGTCTATAATTGTTTGTAAAGATGATATTTTTAAGTTGTTTTTTATTTTAATTTAAAATAAAAAAATTTTTTTAAAAAAAATATATAAACACATCATGTAACATTAAATAAATAATGACCACAAGGATAAGAGAGAGCAAAGCTATGATCATTCAATAATATATCAGTTCCTTAATTCTTTCTCTTTGTCAGCTGTTCTTTGCTGTTCAGCTCTGGTTTGATCAGAATAATATAACATTTGGGTACAAAGATGCAACCGAGTAAACCAGCACTGGAGGCCAAGATGGAGAAGATCTCCACCGCTAGCTTCTCTTTCCCTTTGGTGCTGAGGTAGGCTAGAAGGAAAGCTAACCAAATGCTGCAAAACACCAACATGCTGAAGGTGATGAACTTGGCTTCATTGAAACTCTCTGGAAGGTTCCTAGCTAGGAAGGCCACAATGAAGCTGATGATGGACAGAAGCACCATATACCCCAAGACAAGGAAAAACATCACAATGGGCTCCTCATTACATTCTGCAATGATACGTTTGGTGAATGACTGTTTGTCCAGATCTGGGAAAGGGGGAAAGATTGTCATCCACACAACACAAATAATTGCTTGAATGAGGAAACAGCAGAGAACAATGGAGTTGGCTAGTCTTTTCCCAATCCACCTCCTCATGTTAGATCCTGGTCTTGTTGCCACGAAAGCCACCACCACAGTGATGGTTTTGGCCAAGATACAAGAAATGACCATTGTGAAAGTGATGCCAAAAGTGGGCTGTCGCAAAAGACAGGTGACTCTCCTTGGCTGGCCAAGAAAGAGCAAAGAGCAGAGGAAACAGAGCAGAAGAGAGACGAGGAGAATGTAGGAGAGTTCTCGGTTGTTGGCTTTGACAATCGGAGTATCTCTGTGCTTAAAGAATGTTCCAAGAACAAACACTGTGGTCAGGGAGAAAACCAGAGAAGCAGAAGCTAAGCTGATTCCTAAAGGTTCCTCATAAGAGAGAAAAATTATGACTTTGGGCATGCATTGAGTGTGGCCTTTATTTGCATATTGATCTTCTGAACAACTGAAACACTCATTCATATCTTGAAGAAAAAGACCAGATATCAGAAAATGACCACATTCAATTCTGACACATTGACAATTTTTGTTCTCAAAGGCTGATACAATCTTCTACTGAAACATAAACATATGTGCTAGTCATTCCCGACTCTAGGGGGTGGTGCTCATCTCCGTTCCAAAGCCAAAGTGCCAGTGCTGTCGGAAGACGTCTCGGTGGTCACGTGGCTGGCATGACTAAATGCCAAAGGCGCACAGAACACTGTTACTTTCCCACCAAAGGTAGTCCCTATTTTTCAACAATTCAACTTCAATTTTTTATGTGCTTTTCAACAGCTAGGTTGGCAGAAGCTGGGACAAGTAATGGGAGCTCACCCCATTACATGGTACTAGGGATTCAAACCGCTGAACTGCCGACCTTTCGATCAACAAGCTCAGTGTCTTAGCCACTGAGCCGTAGCTTGTATGTAATGGACATCCTAGCTTGTATACTATTCACATCTGAACCTGATATCTGAAGTGACCATTCTAAATGAAGTAGACATTACATTTTTATCTGAATAACATTCTCTGATGAACGATGTTCCCTCTCTTTGGAATACTGGCTATACAGCTTCACCTACTCTTCTGGTCTGAAATCTTCCCATCTGGATATGGGGCACAGTCATAACAACAAAATTTATATCCTTCTCTCTTCTTCTTCTGATAGCCTGGTTGGCAATATTCATTGCATACAGAATGCAGTACCACCTATTCAGAATAAAGATAATTTAGAATCAAATTATATCCATCAATACCGTGTTTCCCCAAAAAGAAGAGCCTGTCTTATATTTTTTTGAACCTTGAAATAAATGATTGGCCATATTGCTCTCAAAAGCCCAATTGGGCTTATTATCAGGGGATGGCTTATTTTGGGGGGAAACAGGATGTATCTATCAATCCATCCCTATGCCTCCAGGCTTAAAATTTTGTGCTTGAAGAATCTGGAACTGCGCCACCTGTGGCCCAATTTAAGTATAGTACACAAAATTGTTTGCTACAATGACTTGCCTGTCAACAACTTCTTCAGCTTCAACCAAATAATACACAGGCAAACAATCGATACAAACTGAAGGCAAACCGCTTCAAACTTGATTGCAGAAAATACAACTTCAGCAACAGAGTGGTCAATGCCTGGAATGCTCTACCTGTTCTGTCCCCCCACCTCACATAGGCAGACACACGAGCAAAAGACGTCTACAGTAATTTATTTTTACAAGCCGACCTGAATCCCTTTGGCAGATACAAATTCTGGCAGCTACTTTCCAAATGCCTGCCAAGTTTCTTATCACCTCTAGAAACAGGAGTCAGCGTATCTGTAGTCTGTTGCTGGGGCAACCAAGAGTTCAAAGAGTAGTCAGAAGTCATTCACAAAGTCCAAGCCTTAATTCCGAAAAGTATCCCATCCGAAGCTCAAGATATGCAGTTTTTATCCGTCACAGAGCCTGCAGAGCAACCCCACCCACTTTTATCCACTGTGGGGCATAGCTCAGTGACTCAGCAATCTCTGGCCCTTCCCCACCTCTTCCTTTGCTGCGCACGCCTCTCCCTCCGACGCTGCCTGGGATCAATCCAAGATTGATCTTCATCACTCCCTATTAGAGGGTACCCTGACATGCTTTCCTCCTGGCCTTCGGCTGGAACCTGAGGCATTGCCAGAAAGGAGGGTCCTGGAGAGGGAGGCCTTGTCAGTTCCTCCCCATCACTTTCAGAGTCATCTTCCTCCATGAGGACAGGCTCGGGAGCCGGAGTCACAACACTACCTGACTCCATTGTTACAGCCTCAAACCCCTCACAGCTTCAATCTCAAACTGTCTACCGTGGACCTCACCCCATTCTTAAGAGGTCCGTAAAGGGGGCGTGCATAAGCGCACTAGTGTGCCTACCGTCCCTGTCTTACTGTCCCTATTTATCTCTATTTACTTCCTTTGTTCATGTTCATGTTCATACTTGTTATCTTGTACATGTTTGACAAACAAATAAAATAAATAAATAAATAAATAAAATATTCAAGAGATAAGCTTTTCTGTTTATAGTGGACTCAGAATTAAGAAGGGAACACGAGCCAGCTAATAAAATCCTTGGTTATATAAACAGAGGCATAGAATAAAAATCATGTGAAGCAGGGGAGAAATCCAGCAGGTACTGACAAGTTTTGGAGAACCGGTAGCGGAAATTTTGAGCAGTTCAGAGAACGGGCAAATACCACCTCTGGCTAGCCCCAGAGTGGGGTGGGAATGGAGATTTTGCAGTATCTTTCCCCTGGAGTGGGGTGGGAATGGAGATTGCAGTAACCTTTCCCTGCCATGCCCACCAAGCCACGCCCACAGAACCAGTAATAAAAAAAATTGGATTTCACCACTGATGTGAAGTATTAGTACCACTTTATAAAACCTTAGTAAGACCACAACCTGAATACTGCATCCAGTTTTGGTCACCACATTACAAAAAAGATGATGCGGCTTTGGAAAAAGAGCAGAGAAGACCAACTAAGATGATTAAAGGCCTGGAGACTAAAACATATGGAGATCAGTTGCAGGAACTAGGTATGGCTAGACTGGAGAAAAAAACTAGGGGAGACATGACAGCAGTATTCCAGTACTTGAGGGGCTGCCACAAAGAAGAGGGAGGTCAACTTATTTTCCAAAGCATCAGAAGGCAAGACGAGAAACAATGGATGGAAACTGATCAAGGAGAGAAGCAACCTGGAATTAAGGAGAAACTTGCTAACAGTGAGAACAATTAACCAGTGGAACAGCTGGCCTTCAGAAGTTGTGGATGCTTCAACACTGGAGGTTTTTAAGAAGAGACTGGACAGTCACTTGTTTGAAATGGTATAGGTTCTCCTACTTGAGCAGGGGGTTGGACTAGAAGATCTCCAAGGTCCCTTCCAACTATTCTATTCTATTCTATTCTATTCTATTCTATTCTATTCTATTCTATTCTATTCTATTCTATTCTATTCTATTCCATTCCATTCCATCCCATCCCATCCCATCCCATCCCATCCCATCCCATCCCATCCCATCCCACCCTATCCTATCCAGCTCTATTCTGATTGATTGATTGATTGATGAGTTCTATCTTTTATGATCCGCACTAATTTATTTTATTTATTTATTTATTTATTTATTTGATTTGATTTCTATACCGCCCTACTCCCGAAGGACTCAGGGCGGTGCACAGCCAAACAATAAAACACATACCTACAAAATTTAAAAATAGAATTAAAATCAAATTAAATAATTTTGGCCCGGACAAATTAAAACCCCAAACTATTTAAAACCAATTTTAAAATTAAATATATAAAATACTAGAAAATATTTAAAAATTCAAAATCTTTTATAAAAGAGGGAGAAAATTAGGCCAGGCCCGCCTGGTGAAATAATAAGGTCTTTAAAGTGCGGCGGAAGGTGCGCAGATCTGGGATCCTCTGTATTTCTGGGGGGAGCTCGTTCCAGATAGTAGGTGCCCCCACAGAGAAGGGTCTCCCCCTGGGGGCCGCCAGTCGGCATTGTTTGGCCGACGGCACCCGGAGGAGCCCCTCTCTATGGGAGCGTACCGGCCGATGGGAGGCTATTGGTGGTAGTAGGCGGTCCCGCAAGTACCCAGGTCCTAAGCCATGGAGTGCTTTAAAGGTGGTAACTAAAACCTTGAAGCGCACCCGGAAGACCACCGGGAGCCAGGGCAGCTCGCGCAGGAGGGGTGTTACATGGGAACGCCATGTCGCTCCCATTACTAATGAGTTTGTAATTAAAAAAATAAAACCAAACTAGGATCCTATGTTGTGCACCTGGTTAAAAGCTGTATGCCACACTATCGCATCCTTATTAAGGGAGATTGGATTTCCTTCCATAGTCTTGGGATCAATCTTTCCAACTTTCAGCCTCTGGAAAGTATGATTGGGGAAGGTGAGCAGATTGGTGATGTCAAATTGGCTTTCCACTTCCCCTTCCGTGTTGAAGGACACAGTTTCTCCTGCTGAGTTGTTAAAGGAAATGCCTTGGAGAAAGAAGTGGAGCTGATGGAAAAGGAAATAGATAGCTTAGTAGGTAGACAGGCAGAGAGGCAGATATCTTTCTCTGAAACTCTTGGGGTATATTATGTAAATCATTACATAATTTAAATTATCATGGCAGACATTTGGCCCAAGTAATGTTTGCAAGTGTCTTAAAGATAAAGGTAAAGGTTCCCCCGCACATATGTGCTAGTCGTTCCTGACTCTAGGGGGTGGTGCTCATCTCCATTTCTAAGCCGAAGAGCCAGTGCTGCCTAAAGACCTCTCCGTGGTCATGTGGCTGGCATGACTCAATGGCAAAGGCGCACAGAACACTGTTACTTTTCCCACCAAAGGTGGTCCCAATTTTTCTACTTGCATTTTTTATGTGCTTTCCAACTGCTAGGTTGGCAGAAGCTGGGACAAGTAATGGGAGGTCACTCCATTATGCGGCGCTAGGGATTCGACTCACCGAACTGCTGACCTGTCTGATCAACAAGCTCGACAAGCATCTTAGCCACTGACCCACCACATCCCTCTTTGCAAGTGTCTTACATGTATCTTATTTATTTTTATCTCAAATCTGGTAAAACATAGATTCCATTGCTGACAATAGAGGAGGAGCCTTGGTGGTGCAGCAGACTAAGTGCTGTTATGTAGCACTTAGCTGCCAGCTGCCTGCAATTAGTGGGAATTCAAATCTCACCAGGCTCAAGGTTGACTCAGCCTTCCATCCTTCTGAGGTAGGTAAATTGAGGACCCGGATTGTGGGGGCAATAAACTGACTTTGTAGAAATATCGCTTATGGGGGGCCAAAAGCCCTAATAAGCAGGTATATACAAAAGAATGAAGGCTATTGCTATAAGTGCATTGTAAGCCACCCTGAGTCTTCGGAGGAGCGCAACATATAAATTGAATAAATAAATAAATAAATAAATAAATAAATAAATAAATAAATAAATAAATAGCAAATGTTAATTTTCAATATTT